CTGCTCAGCGCGGCTGCCCGGCAGGGACCAGCAAGTGCTAGGGACGTGACGAACAAGGGCCAAATAATTTTTTGAAATACACGGTCACACGTGTAGACTGCAGTTCCTCTTTATTTGCCGGCTCATTATAGCTGTAATTGCTTTGCTATTTATCTGTGAAGCATCCCGTTTCGTATTGAGGATAACATTAGGAATTGTTGCAAAGAATTCTAATTAGATAAACGCAAAACTTTGAATTTGTATCCAGGCTGAGCAGTGAAATGATCTGAGGCAATTATACATGCTGAGCTGCTGCCCTGAACAGTATTCCTTATCAATGGCAACAATAGATGAGAAAATATGTGAACAAATCGATATGCTATTCAGCTATAGAATTATTTTAAGAAGATAGCTAGAAAAGTGCACATTTTGCAAAACAAACATCGTGGTCTAATACTGCTGTAATGTGAATTAATGAAAAATTAGCAGTTGTTTAAGAGCCAAAACAGAAATAGTTTTTTAAGTGTAAAAACTAAAAGCTAGACTCTAGCTTTACTTCTGCACATATGATTTTTCAGAGAAGTAATTAATAAAATTATAATTAATAATAATAAAAAGAATAACAAGTTTCTATTAATGCCTATAAACATATCTTCCTTAATCAGATAATGAATAATAGAAGCATTCAGAAAATAGTTAAGAGATACCTATTTTTTAAACCAAGTGAATAAGAAATATAATCCTACTGTACCTCAGTAATTGTTAAAGGAAGGACCCATTATCATAATTATGTTTCTGGAACAAACATTATTTCAATGTGATAAAGGATGACATGCCACTAAAGGTAAAGCCACGGCAGATGTTACATGAGTAACAAGACAATATGCCCACATTCGGGTAATTTCTCCCCCCCAGACATGTTCTCATTAATCTGTGATTAATAGGATTTGAGTATAGGAAATGATGTTGATCTATTGTCTGTCTTTGTCCCACACCATAGAGAGAGCAATTTGTCAGCTCAGCTTTTGTGTGACTATTTAATAGCAAAGAGGGGGAGAGAAAAGACGCTAATCTTCTAATTGGCATCTATAGAGAAAGGTCTAAGAACACTGCCTGCCTGGAAATAGCTTATGTGCAATTCCTATGCCTGCGAGGCTGAGGCAGACAGACAGCAGCACCAGGATGGGTACCCATGGAAAGGGAACAGTGTGTCCCTGTCGCACAATGAGCTGCTGGCCAGAGGGAGAGTGGAGAGCAAGGTGCACTGCAGAACAAGGGGCAGTTGCTGACTTTTCCAAGTCTGTTATGTTGCAGCCTGTTATGTCAAAAGAGTGCTTCTTGACTGGTGTGACTTTATTAAAGACAGGAAGCTGCCTCCTTTCTAGAGCAGAAAGCAGAATGAGGCAGGGGAAAAACAGGGGGCACTGATGAGGAATAGTCTTCTCGCCAGCAAAATTGGAATCAATGGAGAGAACACGAAGTGCCCAAACATCTTTCCAGAGATGTCAGGTGAACAATGGCTTTGTACTAATATAGTGCCACTTCTAGCTTAGCTGTCCTCCTCAGGTGCTAAGGTTGCCTAATGAAATGACTGCCTTCAAATACAAATAATTTCACAATTAAGTCACCGCTCCCAATTCAGCAAAACGTGGAAGCTACTGCTTAAAACTAGGCATGAGGACAAGTGCTTTATCTTTCCCCCATCCTCAAGTATCTATTTTATGCCCTTCAAAAGGTCAGAATGAAGACTTGGGTTTTGTGTGCAGTTAAGGACTGGATCCCTCTGGCACATCTACATTGCAGCAAAATGCAGCTTTGTTTTTGTAATGATTTCTTAAGTGGTGAACATAGACAAAGTGTTCCTTGTTCAGTTTAACCACCTGAGCCATTCTGATAGTATAAAATTTAAGATAAAGCAGTAACTCTCTAAAAATATTATTTTTGAGACCTGTGTCATTTTTTAATAGGAGCAATTTAATGAACATTTCATTTGGTAGTTTTGTCACTCCAGTGGGTCAAACCAGTGAATTGCATCAGAAGGGTGGGACTACCTTAGATCAGCTTTATCAATTGGAAATTGTTCTGTGGGCCTGCACATAATGTTTTTTCTACCTGTGTAAGTCTTCAATGGATATAGAATAGAAATAGCATAGCATAGAGCATGACTCTTTTTCATGCTAATGGATATCATCAGGATTTAATGGAAACTGATGCAGGATAAAGATTGGATAAAAAGGTATTTTGCTAAGTGAAAAATAAAACTGTGGATAGAATTGAATCTTATTTAAAATTGAGAAGAGTGGATGGAAAGCAGCTGACAATACTGAGGTTAAAGAAAAGGCTCTCAAAACTGTTTAAGTTAGCAATATTTACTGCCACATTTCACAATCACATCTCTATTCAAAGCCACCAGAACCCACTGCTCAGGTGTATGAGCAGCACTTGGGCAGACATGGTGTTGTCTGGCCTCTGCAGTGAAAACTGCTGGGATTTGGAGATCAGATGGGAGTCTGGGCAAGGACAAAGCAAGCGGGGCAATCTGTACCATCTTGTGTATGAATTTGCAAACGCAGAGCATTTCCCTGCTGCTTGGTGATGTTAGCATGCTGAGCACCATTATCACAGCACAGAGTGCAGCCCTTTCTCTGCCTTTGGGGGTGAGCACTGACGTTTGTCCCTGTTTCAGGCATGACAGAGAGCAGGCATGCCCTCTGTGGAAACACCCAAAACTTTTGCAGTGGCAAGAACTCCCTCGGTGGAGATGCTGGGTCTGTCCTGGATCTATTAGTGTCACACTGGGGGGTACAGTGCCAAATCTGCCTGAGCCTGGGCTGTGTGGTTGAACTGAAGTGCAATAGTAGGGCCACATCAGCAAGAGTCTGGGCTCTAACTTTTGTGGCTTCCAGGGAAAGGAAAGTGTCTGTTTTGCTTCTGAACATGAGCAAAATGCCAGCCTCTCGTGGAACGTAGCTGTAAGGTCTGGAGCTTGGGATGCCTCTGCCCTTGTGTTCTGCTCTGGGTGAATCTGATGGGACGTGTGCTCTTTTTAACTGCTTTGATCAAGCAAGAGGAGATTTCATCACTCAGAAGGTCTTGGGGCATGTCAAGACATCCTGGAGTAGTTAGTTGACTCCTCCATAGTCCAGAGGAGTCCTGCCCCTGGAGGGGTCAGGCAGTCTGTTTGCATAGCAGTTGTCCTAGGTTTCTCTATAGTGGTCACTGGACGAAAAGTGGCAGAATGCACCTACTTTAACTCCAGTTTCTGCCACCATTTGAAGATTTTCTTGGTGTCAGGGTGTAGTGCCACAAAAAAAGCCCTCCAAGGCTGCAAACCGCTCTCTCTCTGTCCCAGCATTGTGCAGGGACACAGAAACCACAGGAAGCAAAAACCCCAAAATGTTAGTTATACCTTCCTTTTTAGAGGTTAGGGTGCTTTTTCCTGCTCAAGGTATAGTAAAAGATGTTCCAGCTCCTGGGAGTTTCAGTCTAAATCCATACACTCAGGGTGAGGTCAAACTTTGTGTAATACTTTTGTACAAGTATACCTTGTGGCCACATTCAAATACTGCAAGCTTCAGCTCTTCCTTAAAAATGAGGCTAGTTTTTATTTTCTAAAGTCTCATAGCTGTGAGAATGGGGAGGTTTGATAGTCTTGTGAGCAAATAAGAAAGCAAAATGTCCTCAAAAGCTTACTTTGAGTAGACTTGGAGGTGTTGGAAGACTTCAGGTGACTGTCTGTGGTCTGGGCTTCATCTGACAAGGCCCTCTGCATCAGGGCATGAATTTATTGCATCTGTCCATCACCACAGCTCATTACATGCAACATAACTGTCACATATTTTCCAGCATATTTAATCTCTATCTAGGATGTGAAGTTGTTGTGAGTGCTATTTGTTATTTGGTATTTCATGCTCTTAGCCTGTTCAAAAAGCTGCTTAGTTAAGAAAGATCAAAATGCAGAGTGACATTTCTCTTTAAAATAAACATTAATACTGAGTCTCTTGGACTGTTAAAATGCAAGAACACTGTGATAGTAACAAGTGTTATAAAATGTTATTTTGAAGCATGACCTGCTTCCTGCTCATCACCTAATACCACTGTGCTTAGAGGGGGAAGAAGGCTGTATTTGGAACAGTTATCTCCTAGGCAGGCAATAGCATCTGGTGATATTAAAATGTCATCAAATGAAAATATATGCAATAGCGTCCACCTCATTTGAATATGAAATGCAAGGACAATCCAAGGCAGACAACAGCTTGTTTAGAGTGATATCTGAATACAAAGGCTGGATCATCAATAATAGATAAAGGGGTTTTTCTTGTTGTAAATTAGAGGTAGGATGAGTATTGTAGTTTTGTTTTTTAATTATTAATCACATTAGCAAGGCCGGCTTTTACAAAGCACTAGCCAGAGTAAAAATGTAAAATATGAAGTGAGAAGAATTAATTTTATAACCTGACACTAGAATAAAGCATCCAAGCCCTCTATCAACTGCACTGAAAATTAGATGGTAACATTCTGGTAGTTCTGTCAAAGTCAAATACAGAAGCAATTGTTAAGTGTTGATAGGCAGTGGATAGAAGGTGTAATCCACTGGGAAGGTTTTGATCCAAAATGAAACAGTTTTCTACCCCTGCTAGTCAGGCAGAAATCTAATTACTCTCTTTTGATCTCTATGGAGAGGTAAACCAAAGAGTTATAGGTTATGGACAGTTTTATTGATTTTTATCTCAGAAATCAACAAGTGCAGGCTATACACTTTACACATACTTGCTTAGCTGGTGATAGGATCAAATATTTCAAACTGGCTTTCCCTGCTACCAAGTCAATAAGCCTTTTAGTTGCTTTGTTCAAGTTGCACTGCGGATGTTAATATTACAGAACTTTTTTTGCACTTAAATGCTTTGGGGAAAAAGATTGCCAGGCTTAGACTTGGGCATTTTAAACAAAAAATCTAAGTATTTTTTCCCCATCTACTTATTTCTCTCTTGCAGGACTACATTTTTATATTATGGCTTTATCTGGACAAGCAGCTGCATTTTTGACAAGGTAGAAAAAGACAACTGCAATTCAGCTGGTAACAGCAGCTAAAATAATTTCTGGAGTGCTCATAAGGCGTTTCTAAGGTAGACCTGGAGTGCAAAGGAGGAGAAGGCTTTCTGTTTCTGGAATTTCCAGTGCACCTTTGAGAAATCAGTCACAAACTTCACTGCTTGTATTCTAGCACTGAAATATACCTTGGTCCTTTGTCCTGTCTCTATGAGTGCAAACATTTCCACAAATGCCCACTCTCATCAACTACAGTTTATGCAAATATTCAATCTTAAAAAACACTAGCCCTTCTTCTCCAAGCTACTTCCTGTAAATCCTAGCAGGATGAGTTCAGACGTGGGCATGGGGAGAATGCCTTGCTTTTCATACAAAGGACCCTTTTATGGACCTTTTTGATTAAGTGTAAATGTGTGTGAACGATTTCCCAGACAGTCTTACCTAAAATCTTGGCATGCAATCATGTCTCCAATCCAGCAAAAGATGGAGAGCACAGGAGTTGTGCTATCAAGCTAGAAGATGTCAAGATTTCATGCCTCCTTTTTAGAGGTATAATTATTTGGGGTCTGTTGTTAATTATACATATTCATGCAATCTAATCAGTCTTCAAGAATGTGCATCAAGTCAGGGTCTGCTTGCTCACATACACAAAAAAGCCTGTTATTCTCGCTTAACTCCAGTGTCAGAGCCACAGCCACAGAGCCTGGCATGAGTGTAGCTTCATGATTATTTTGATAGCTTCTCTTCTTCGTGTCCTGGGAGATAAGGCTGTTTCTCCCAGAGCTGCACTTTTTCCTGAATGACTGACAACCCCTTTAGAGGAGATCAACCCCTCTTTGTGCCCTTTCACTCACTCGGAGGTTATCAGCTAAAACTGCACTCAGCATTCAATCACATCTTTCCCCTGTGGCTGTAACTCCTGTTAACACAATTAACCTTCTGATGGGAACATAAAATGAATCTAGGGAGGGAAAAAGAGCAGAAATACATTCCCATGTTAAGGATTAAATGGCCTTAGTGCTTATAGCAGTGTTTTTTCACCTCTCTCTCTTCCACAGCATTGTGTGCAAGGGGCTAATAGCAGGAAGTCGCCTGTCACAAAATTCTTCCTACTAATACCAGCAGCTCTTATTTTATCAATGTTGGGGGTTTTTTGTTTGTTTTTTTTTTTTTTTTTTTGTTCTTTTTTTTTAATTTTAAGGTTAATGGAAAGTACTATGGTATACTAGATAGGAAAATAAATACAAATTTGTCTTTGTGTTTTGGTTTGCTTACCTGCCTCCCCCCAACCAAAAAAAACCAAAAAAATCTAAATCTGAAAGATACCATTTGACAGCCAACCCTTCCCTTTTCTTTGACAGGAGGGCATGATGGGGATGAATAATACCTGTCTTCTTTTGGGTGTCTTTTTTTATGGCAGCATTTTTAAATGATAATCCCATTGTAAGCTCATGTTTGTTCTCATTTCCTGCCTGTTTCTGTACTGAGCTCTGCAGAACTGTGTATGTGTCCCCCTGACTGTGCCCTAGTGGGTGCCTGCTCTAAGCATGCTTTAGCCACAGCATTTTTGAGGAATATGAGTATATTCCCCCCTCCCCCACCTCTTCTGAAACTGAGGTATGAATTTTCATCCAAATGTTCCCTCTTTAACTCCCTCTGTGCTCCATGGGTGGCTCATTGTCCTGAAGAGCCAGGAGTCTGAGATGGAGGCCAGCAGTGCCTCCTTGGGCACCATGCACAGGCTGGAATCTATGGTACCAAGGGTTCTTTGTGGGTCTGGTGCTGCAAAACTCTGGTCTGGCTCTGGTTCTCACTCTGCTTATCTTGGGCAAGCTAATACTCTGCCCTACGTTGCTCTACAGCAATATTTGTGAAGGATTTCCCCTCACTTGTAAGTCTTTCTTAAGAGCTGCTGAGGCAGCACTTGGAGGGCACCCCTTGGGCCCATTGCCTCCCAGGGGTGAGGCTGAAGGTGAGCAGCCCTGGAAGGCACTTGTTCTCTGACTGACAGTCTCTTCTGGGCTTTTTGTATTTCTCAGATCTTGCCCATTCTGAAGTGCTGTCCAGCAGCAGGTACTTGGCCTCTGCATGGTTTTAGTACTCCAGGTGTTTGCAGATTGTGGTGAAACTTGTAACTAGACAAGGGATGGAAAATCAACATCACTTTTCTAGCACAGACGCATCCCCAAGCACACAGTGGCTAAACTGATGCAGCAGTTAAATGAGATGAGGACATTTTGTGTTTTCTTGTAAGATTACAATATTACTGATTTTGACTCCACCCCATTGACCAGGTTTGCATAAACACTATAAGTGGATGAGTCTAGCTGCTGAGGTGTGCCTGCACTCTGCCTCTGTTGGTTGAATGAGTTTTATGCAATGGCTCTGGTGACAGATCTGGGGGTATTTCAACATTGCAGTATCAGGTATTTATCATGCAAGTGCCAGATTTGTATTTCCAGTGCCATTCTCAGAGGCAGAATTGTTTAAACAGTAAATGAAGCAGGCAGAGGAAGACAAGTCACTCCTTAAAATGTATTTCTTACAGATTCTTGTATGTTGTTATGCAAGGGAAAATATTATGTGCACATTGTAGAAAGAAATGGACAAGGCAAAATAATTATGTTTTTTGGGACAGGCTTTAAGAATGTCCACTCTGACTTGTACGTTGTTACATTTCCAAGTTCCTTCCTCAGTTCCTTGTTATAACTCTGCTCTCCCAAGCAGGGGGTTAGGGATGATCCATATGTGTGTGGACTTTAGAGTGTTGCTACTGTAGATTAGTAAAAGTGTCATGAGGCTAAAAGTTATGTTGAACACACCAGAGTTAATAATGTTGGAATATGTCCCTGGCAAAATGAAAGTCTTTGCAGCTGGACACAAGTGCCTTGTACTGCTGAAGAAGAGCTGAGGGAACTCTGTGGATCTGCCAGTTTGCAGAGGAAGCTGCTATAGGGCTTGCAAAAGAAGGTCAGAGAAACAGCTGATGGAAAAGGAAGATGCAAGGATATCAGCTGACAACTGAAGATTGGGCTAATTGTCATTGTAGGCTTTTTCTCTATTTCATACATTTTTTCTCTTTTCAGCTCAGATGTATTAGTTGTTCTCCTATCCAATTCTCAAATCCTGAGAATTGATTATTGTATCCATGAGAGATTGCTGGCATGAAGAAAACACTGAGAGTAATTAAAGTGAGGAAAGCTGATGTCAGGATTGCTTCTCCCTTTCAAAGGAAGTAGGAACCTCACCAGAACCCAGTTTTGTTCCAAAGTAAACTCCATTCCAGTGGGTGCAGTATCCAGGTGACCCAATTGAAACACAGCATGCTGGAGTGCTGCAGCAATGGAGCAGTGACTGTGGAGTTCTGTGGTGAATCACCCTCAAGGTAAGGATGCAGCACAAGAATTGCACATAGAAAGGGTGAGTCAAGGTTCACAGCACTGTGAGCCTGGCTCACACCAGGATGCTGTGGCTTGGCTTTCATGAGAAACCAGTCAGCCGTTGTCCTTCCCCACACAACTGCCCCAGTTCTCATGTTCTTACACGTTTCTGCTGCTGTATCTTTAGAGGGCACAGACCCTGTGTGTGTTTGGGGGTCACACTGGGATGGCTCCAACAAGATGCATTGTGTGACAGGGCAAGGGCTGCACCCAGGACACAGAAATGCTTTCTGCTGGGCTGAGCCAGCTGGGAAGCCCAAAACCAGCACAGTGGTGGGTTGAGGGCAATGTCATCAGCTTGGGATTTCCCACTGGGGAGAGAGACATGGATATAAACCAAATGGCTGCAAAAATATGAATGCAGGACATACTAAGTAGCTCTTATCCTCCCAAAAGACATGTGTGCTGGGGTGTTATGCAAATCTTGAAAGGATATAGCCTCCAGCTCATCCCATTGTTGAAAAGGATTAAGCCTCTGTGAGTGCTGGGCACTTAGGGATTATGGTTCAGCATCCAGAGAGGGATGAACCCGGACTGACTTATGGTGTTTAAGGGCTTTATGCCTTCACTGAACACCTACAGCTGTTACAATTTCTTTTGCCTGGTTTATGGAAATGTCAGGACAGATACTCTAACTTTTCCATTGAAATGCTGATCATCATGAAGTCTCTTTCCCTGAATCCACACACAGATGTGCTAATAAAAAGCAGTATTTGAGACATGGCATTATGTCTTCTCTGCTAAACTTGGTCACTGTTATGCAGAGCAGCTACCATCTGTGTCCTGCTTCACTGCCTGAGACGCACAGCCATTGCAGGTGGATGTGTCGCCAATCCTCTCCCACAACAACCTCACTGTATTTTACAGCCCACAGCACTTCACATTACTTCTTCGTGTAAAAGTTCAGTGTTGTGGTCCAGCCCTTGGGAATTAGTGTCTGAGCTGGCTCTGCAGTACAGGGGTGATGTGGTTATCAATCCTTCTGATAGGGCTGGAGCAGTCTCTGACTGGTGGGAGGGCTTGTGCATTACTACATAATACATCAAACCTCTGGTTGGCAGCTTCTTCAGAAGAGGAGATAAATTTTTCAGTGCCCCGTGTGCCTCTGTGCAGGGCTCTGTCGTTCCACACACCAGGGATTGGCTTACCAGCATCAGGGGGCTCAAACAAGGGTGGAGAAGGTTGGGCTTGCTTATTGTGAAACAAGTGATCTGCTTAACACAGCTCTAGGCTTTTGTGAAGGAGTCTTCTCTTACAATCTGGAGGAAAAAAAAAAAAGAAGAGCTTAACTGGGAAATTAACTGAAACAATTCTCTAATATAGATTATTTCCTCTTCCTCATCTTCAGGTGGAAGTACTGGGACAAGCTCCTGCATCAGTGACTGCGAGAAAGTTACAGCTTCGCTTCATCTTTTCTTCATCGAGGTGAACTCCTTCTGTTACAACTGCAGAGTGCAGCTGAGTCTATACAGTCTTGACTGTCCACTGCTGTTTTACACTTTGAATTCAACAGCTCAGAGACACAATGGACATTAGTGACAAATTGTGTCTCTCAAGGGTCTGTACTGGAACCAATGTTACTACATAACTTCTTTAATTACATGGGTAAAGGGTTCAAGTGCACCCCCAGAGAGTTTGCAGATGACACCAAGCTGAGTGGTGCTTTGAAACACCTGAAGGACAGGATGCCATCCAGAGGGACCTGGACAAACTCAATAAGTGGGCCAAGGGAAATCTCAAGAATTTTAACAGGACCAAATTCAAGGTACTGCATTTGGGTTGGGGCAAGCCCCAGTCTCAGCACAGGCTGGGGATGAGCAGCCCCAGAGCAGCCCTGCCCAGAGGGACTTGGGGGTGCTGCTGCCTGAGAGGCTGCACATGAGGCACCATGGGCACTGCCAGCCCAGAGAGCCAAACGTGCCCTGGGCTGCATCCAGAGCAGCGTGGGCAGCAGGGCCAGGGAGGGGATTCTGCCCCTCTGCTCTGCTCTGCTGAGAGCCACTCCAGGGCTGCATCAGCTCTGGGGGCCAGCACAGGAGGGACAGGGAGCTGCTGCAGTGACTCAGAGGAGGGCCACCAAGATGATTAGAAGGGTGGAACATCTCTCCTATGAGGAAAGGCTGAGAGAATTGGGGTTGTTCAGCCTGGAAAAGAGAAGGCTTTGGGGTTGCCTTCCAGTAGCCAATGGGAACCTACAAGAAAGATGGAGAGAGACTTTATACAAGGACATGTGATGACAGGACAAGAGGCAATTACTTCAGACTGAATTAGAGTGGTCTTAGATTAGATATTAGGCAATAATTCTGTACTGTGAGAGTGGTGAGGCCCTGGAACACGTTGCCCTAAGAAATGGTGGGTGCCTCATCTCTGGAAGTGTTCAAGGCCAGGCTGGATGGAGCTCTGGGCAACCTGGTGTAGCAGAAGGTGTCCCTGCTCGTGCAGGGGGTTTGGAACAAGATGATATTTAAGGCCACTTCCAACCTAGACCATTCTGGGACTCCATGATTATCAAGTTTTGCTCATCTGAGCTGAAGCACAGAAAACAATAGAGAAAACAAGGGAAGACGATAATAGGGTTGAAACTGCTGTTTTAAAACATCTGCTGTTCTCCATTTTTCTTGGCTTCTGCTTCCCACCCCTTTCATTCTAGAATCTCTTGATGAAGTAGAAGTAAAATCCACTGGTCTGCATTTCAGAAAGTAGTCTTTAAACTTTCAAACACGGTAGACATTCTCACCTATATTTTCCATGCACAAAAACTGCAATGGAAAAATATCAAGCAAAATTGGCAGTGTGTGCCTGGAGGTCCATTTAAAAAAATGGACCCACTCAAAACTATATTTCACCCTTGGTCCTAAATAACCGGTTTATGTTCCAGGTGAATTTCTGCAGCAATTTGCAGTTCTACTTTTTCAATTATCCATTTTTCCTCTATTGAGATCTTATTCATTTCCATTTACTTCTGCAAAGTCCTTTTTCTTGTTCACAGTGCCATTATGCTTTTCCGGACCATTTCTTTGAAATTAAGTGCTTGGCTCTTTATCTTTTCATCATTAATTACTGATGTCTTTTTGACCTCTGCTTTGTAAGTGACCATGCCATATTTCTATTTCCTATCTTTTAGGCTTGTTTAAGATATTTTCTTTCTTTAATGACCTGCTCTGAATAGCTTTGCTCTTGTTTTTCAGTCATTTCCCAGAATGGCCACACAGCCAAACCTTTGCCCTCCTTTCTTGTTTTTCATCTTGTCTCTGCTGTATCAATGGCCTAGTTAAAAATGTATTTTACAGCTGGCTGAGGACAAACCTCACTCCATTTTTATAATTATGCTGATCATAATATCAAAAACCTTTTGTTATGACTGTGCACCAGTTAGAACTTCTCTATGGAAGGCCAGAGGCAGTTGGGTGTGAACAGAAGTGGGTGCTGCTTTCAGACTTGGGGTTTGGTTTAGAAGAACATGAACAGAAGCCATTAATGTTGGATTAGTGAAATGTTAGTTTAAATGGCTGAGGACTTTTTCCTGTGTAAAGGTTGTGAGTTTTTTTGTCAAGCTCTTCAGTGCGATGGGTGATACTTTGGTACTTCAGGAAGGCTCAAACCTGTCATTAGGTATCAAAATTATTTCTTGGACTGGTTCCACATATACCATTTCACCATGCCTTATAGTGGCATTTTCATTTGCTTCTTCCTTCTTAATAATTCTCCAAGGATTTTTTTTTTATTTTATAATTGAAAATATTCAAATAGTTCATAAATTATTTTCCTGTCTTTGCCAAATTTTCCATTAGCATCAGTGGAATCTCATTTAGCAGACAAGGTTAGACTCCACCATCACCTCCCAGTATTCCTTTCTTGTGGACTGATGGCTAGGAAGGAAGGCCAGCTGTTTTTTTCAAAACTCTGAGTGGGCCCTTGTTGCTGAAATATATTTAATATATGTGTAAAGGGAGACATGATACATGCAGGCATTTGCTGTCATTTTGTTCTTTTAAATAAATAACTGAGTATAATGAGTCCCAGCCACAGAATGAACATAATGAACCTCTAAAAAAGATGTTGTCTGAGAGCAATATTTACCACTGAGGAAGGGATTGTTACAGAAACGAGAATTGTTTAGACGTTAGCGAGTGAGGTAAGAATCTATTAAAGGAATTAAAAGCAAAGATGACTCATCACACATTTCTGCTTATTTGTAAGAGACACATGAAAGGCAGGGATTTCAAAACATTTGTATTAAAAAAACATCAATAACAAAGCCCCCTGATTTAATTTTTCAGTCTCATGGGCTTCAAAAGAAGATGTGACTTTTCCACATCTGCCTTGAAAATCACACAGCGCTGGAAACTAGAAAAGGCTTGCTTTGCTTTGCTACATTTAATTTTTAGATTGGTCACCTGTAGGTGAAATTTACACCATTTTCTTCTCTGCAAAAAAATCTAGAAACTGTTTTTGTTGCGTTGAGAGTCAGGTTTCTGATACGTCTCAAAGGGGAAAGTGCTTCTGCCCCTGCTGCTGAGGCTCCTGTGGCTGCGGAGGACAGCCTGCCTCACCCCCTGCTCACCTCTCACTCCCCTTCTCCAGCCAGCACACTGCTCTCCCTGCTGAGAAAATCCCTCTGGAACAGTGAGCAAGGGAGTCGAGCAGCTCTCTGTGCTCTGCTTTCCCTGTCACAGGCAGGAGACCCTTGCAATGGGTTAGTGTGCTCATTTAGGCAAAATACAGCACGGCCAGGCTTTTATGAGGTTGTCTGGGAAGTGCAGCAAAGCGTCACAGCACAGCTGTGGTAGAAAAAAATTGGTCTTAAATGTTTTTCATAGTAGGATACAGATAATATTGATAATAGAAGTACAGAATTTGTATGGGTACCTTTGCTATAGGAGCATAATAGACGACATAGGAACAAAAACAAGAAACAGAGAAAGAAGTGAAAGCAGAGGAGAATGTGAACACAAAGAAGCAAGTTGGCCAGTGCAGTGACAATGCTGGGAAAAGAAAAGGAGATACAGTTTAGCAAGTCTCAATCTCTTTCATTGTACCACTTAAGTTTTGCTGAACAATGTTATTTCAGGTGTCTCCTGTAAATCCATCATCTGTTAGAACAGCCCTTGGAAATGAATTGGCTAGCACAAGCTCCTGCTCATTTTGACAGGACAGTCAGTAAAGTCCCGATGAGGTGCAAAGGGGCAATAATTTGCCTGTACACGGGAGAGGCACCTCAAGGATCAAACACACTTATAAAGCTGTGCAGCAGCTGGGAAGGGGGGAGCAGGGAGGAGAGGAGAGAATGTGACCCGGCCGTTCCCAGGTGAGACAGAGCCCCTGGATGGAGAGCTGCCACACGGCTGCAGGGCTGCTCTCCTCTCCCTGCCTCATTCCTGACTCGGCAGAGCCCCGTGAAGCCGGTGCGTGGTGACGGGCAGAGCCCTGCAGCTCTCTGGCTCGGATGAGAAGCGCCACACATTCAGGAAAATTAAGCTGTGCTGAGCTCAGGGCTGCAGGGTCGGTGTCAATTACTGCCAGACTTCTCCAGTCTGGGCTCATTGCTGACGATGAGGAGGGTAGGCAGGGAGAGAGAGGACAAAGGGGCAGGAAGGGTCTGAGATCTCACATCCTTCTCCAAAAGGTGCTATCAGATCTAGCAAGGTCAGCAGAAAGTGAAGGCAGCTTCTTTGAGTTGTGGGGGCACCCTCCCCATGCCCTGAAACAGCACCTTGTCCTGCACAGGCTGGGCCCAGTGGGCACTGAAACTCAAACTGGCTTTTGGGGACTTTGCTTTTTAGGAAAAAGTGATTCCTTTCTGAAGTGGAACTTTGTGGAGGAAAAAAAACCCAACAAACCAATTTCCACTTTTGAGAATTAAGAAAAACTGTTTATTTTAATGACACGCTTTCTCTTTACTGCATGCCATTTAAAAATGCCAAACTGCATTTTTTCCTCCCACTTAAAGGTACAATAAGCCATATAAACATAAACCAGACATAGGGCATTTCAACCCAGGAACCAACTGCTTTCAAATTCATCATGCTCTAAGAAAAATGCCTTTATCCTAAGATATCTACAGGAGCTGCTGCCATGTTTGTTCCAACACATGATGCTTGTTTTGTAAGTCCTGTCCTAACTCTGACATTCTTTACTTTGATTTTCATTTCTGATACAGTTCTGTTTGTGTATCTTCCAACTGAACATACCGTGCTTCTGTTTAACTGTCTATTTATAGTCATAAGAGAAATAAACATATAAAATAAATGCATCTTGATGCATAGCTGTGCAGCAGTACAGATGTTTTATTAATGAAAATGAATCCAGCTTTTTGTAAGTCATGGCAGCAATATAACGTATCATTGTTTGCTTCTCTGCTAGATGGTCCCTGCTGTTTTTACATAGAAATTCCTGTAATACTTAAAGGACATCTGGAAGAATTCAGCCAATTAATCGAATTCACGCAGGAGCTAGGCTAATGGCTGTCTGAAAGGCAGATTACATTAAATCAAACTTGCAATATGAATGAAAGTACTTAATCATACATGCAACATTCATTAGACGTGGCACAGCAAGTGTTTTGATTACTTTAATGAAAGATCAGGTAAAGTGCATCAACTGAACAGATTGAAGAGACAGCATGCTTACAAATGTTTGATTATGTTGACTATCAACAGAAACAGTGCCAGTAATTTATAGCAAAACATATTTGGAGGAGGAGGAGGAGGATGAAGCTGGTGAACTTGGGAGGCAAAATGAAATTTAGGCCCTGTCTCCAAGCACTTTAATTAATATTTAGGATAGCAAGATTTTGATTAAATGTCACAAAAGAAGGAAAACAAATGTGAGTGGAGAATCCTGCATGGCAGCTGCTAGGGATCATTATATTAGCAGTACTTGGAGCATGATGCTGGTTTTGAGTCCCCTCTCCTGGCTTTGAAGTAAAGAGGGCTAAGTCTGAAGTGGAAAAAAATTTTCAAAATTTTTCAAAATGACATATATGTACGGTGATTTTTGGCTTGGTGTGCTGCTTTTCCCCTGGGTTCTGCAGGAGACATCCTCCAGTTGCCACTGCCCTTGCCCTCTGTGCAGGCACTGGCACCTGGAGAGGGGAGGGAAGCTTTGGGTTTAGACCCTCCTGAACCATTGATGCATCTTCCCTTTTCCCACCTCATCAGCCAGCACAGCATTTTGCCATTGCCCTGCAGGGTTGCACGTGGGTGTTCACCCACAAAAAACAGAGGAGAGTCTCCATCCTGACTCACCTGCCAAGAGCTGGCCCTGCAGCCTTGCCTCTCTGAAGCACAATGGGCATTTGCCAGGTCTCATCTATGAGAGAAAAAGGTGGATGGGCTCAGAAGCTGGAGGTGCACTGTCAGAAAAGAGCAGCAGCTCTCTGGCTCAGTGCCGCCTTTCCTTGCCCTCTGTCACGTTCCCTGCAAAGAGATGAATCACTATTTCCTTTTGGGAGCTATCTTCCTCCTCATTGCTTTTCTGAGATGCAGGCACCCAGCTCAGATGGGGTTTATTTCCTTGTAATGCAATTTTCCATCTTGTTCCTTCTGGGTGCTGCTCTGCCCAGCTCTTTCCAGCCAGCTTTCCATGTTGGTTTGCTTGTCTTCTCCCACCCCCTGCCACTGGTTTTCCTATCAGCGTCTCCCATGCTCCATCTGCCCCTCTGCAGCTGTTGCTGGCAGTGGTGGCTCCTGCACTGCATCTGCTCTGCAGTGGCCAGGCCATGCCTGCACCTTATTCCACAGTAAATCCTGCCCTTCCTTCCCATAGGCAAGCAAAGACACAGTAGCATACTTCTGTCAGGAAGTGCATTCAGTTCTGGCAGGAAAAGGATTTGGGAACTTGGGAACCTGAAGAACATGGAGGGAGAAATAGAGAGGGTTTCATGGACTAGGGGTGGCAGAAAGGTCTTGGGCAACAGCCCTGGGGAGTTACCTGTTGCACCTCGGAGTCAGAGGAGCTCTATTGAATGAGGTGGCCTTAGAACAGGGGCATGAAAGAATTACTGGGACTGGGGGGGAAAGAAAAAATGTAAATATTTCCCTGTGGGCTCAGCTCCCTGCACCACATCCCTGCAGAACTGAACAGGTTCCAGTGCCAGCACAAGAGCAGGCTGAAGTGTGACCATAAAAGAATCAAGCATTTGTGGCTGTGATTCATCTGCTCCTGATCTCTGCTCTCTGAAAGCAGAGATTGAGTCCTTTTGGGAAATTAGACAACCAGCATGTTTCTCTGTCCTGCCTAAACTCTGCTGGAGGCAGGTGTGGAGTTTCCCTTTACTGGAGGCAGGCACAGGAGTTTCAGACACTTCATTTCTCCCACTCTCCTGCTGCCTTGTCTTTGGTCCTTTGGTCTCTTCAGCTGTTGCTCTCTCTGCACACAGAACCACCCACCTGTCTGCACACAGACCTGCCCTGAGCCCAGCTGGGACTCAGCCTCCCTGAAAGCCACTCCTGATATCCATATAACTGATAACCATGGCCCTCTGTACTAGGAGATCTCTATTTTAGTGAGCTGCAACATATAGTGATGCTTGTAGGGAACAGACTGCTGAGAATCTCGTGCCAAAGAAAGCCAAATCTTCCTGTTTATGGCATGGTGAGATCGATAAGTGGCTCCAGCAGGCAAATCTGGCCAATGGCAAAGGGCTCCAGCCTGTGGGGTATGAGCTGAAATCCAGCTGAAATCTGTCATGAAAGTCACAGTGGCCCCATTGAGTCTCCTATAACTTCTGTAAGTTTGGGAACATCAGTCTGCTCCCTGGAGAGGCCCTGGTTTCCCGGCAATGGGCTGATGCAGATGGAGGTGGGGAAGAACCAAAATGTGAGATTGCTCCTTTGGCCCTTGTGCAGCTGCTCCCTTGTGGAGCAGGGACAGGAGCCATGGCCCCACTGTCCTCCCAGCATCACCTCAGTGATGGGAGGAGATGGGACCAGTTCCCAGCATCACTTCATTTGTGGGAGAAGAGGAAGGTTAAATGTTTTCATAGTGTCTTCAAAACCCTTCAAATCCCTCTAACCCAAGTCAGAGGACACTTCACAGAGCAGTGTTTTCTGCCTTCCCTGATGGAACGATTTTGTTAATATTTGATCAATGAAGAACACATAGCAGCTGTTAGCATCATTTTCCTCTTGAAGCAGATTGTCCTCAGGTAAAACAAAACACAATTAAGAGACTAGCAAGGTCAGTTATATTAGACAATCCATATTCTCATAATGCAGATATTTCCTTCAATGTCTGTCACCAGCATCAAATCCCCAACCACAGCAGGATAATTGGCAGCCCTGTTCTAGGGGGAAGATGAAATGGTTTGTGTTGCCACCAAAACCAGCCTGGATTTTGTTTAAGTGAGGAGCCTGGGGGTGGTATCGCTCATCCAGCTCTACTGCTGGAGAGCCATGCATCAAGGACAGGCTTCTGAGGCAGCTTCTGTCTCCCTCCTATTTACTGCTCCATTAATTACAAACCAGATGTCAGGGCAAGATTTAAAAGTCAACTTTATTTGAAATCTTGCAATGTAAAAAACTCAACCACAACAATTTTTTTTTTGTGGTGGGGAGGGGAAACATGAAGGAGAGAAATGTTCTGTAATCCTTTGCTTATAGTTATTCTCTATTTTATTTTTAACTCTTATTTTTTTTAAAGTTGTGGTTATTTTTTCTTTTACTGAGTGGCAAAAGGAATTTCTCTTTTTATTTCTGTCTCCTGAGCCCCCAGAAGAGTTTTTAGGGTTTTCTCTGGGAACCAGACCTCACTTAAGACCTTCTCTCTGCCAGCTGGCATTTCTGTCTTACATTCCTCTTGCTGTTTATGCCCCAAGACTGTTCAGAAATACAAATGCAGCTGCCCACTTGCTTGACAATGTTTTATTTGGGGACCTTGGAGGTGTAGACCTGTTCTTCAGTGTCTGCACAGGTTTCCAGGTGTCCTGGAGCTGCTGGAGAATGGCTGGGGCTGAAAGCAGTGGTATCCGTACGGCACAGCCAGAGATCAGAGTCTCCAGACTGCTGGGATGTACAAGGATCTGGATGACGAGCTTCTAGCCCAAACTCTGGAGCACCCTGGGCAATCAGATGGAGCATCCTCCAAAGTCACATAATCATGGAATTGATTAGGTTGAAAAAGACCTTTAAGAGTTCAACCATTAACCCAGCACTGACAAGTCCGCCACTAAACCATCTCCCTAAAAGAAGGCAGCAACAGGGAAAGGTATCTAGAGGAATCTGAAGACTGTCCTCACTTTGGAAGGTCCCCAAGAGGTTGGCCCAGTCATCACTGAATCTGATTGCTGAATCTTGGCAAGGCTTGAATGGGTCCCTTAGGCTTATGTTAGCAGCACAGTTATGAACAAGACTAAAAGTCCCCTTGCACAAAACAAGAAACTTTGTCAAAGAGGGAGGCAGAGCAGTGCTGTACCAAACAAACAGTGCCTGTTTTCATCTCCTAACACACCAGCATTCAGCCTCAACCAGGGAGGAGGGAATGGACTGAGGAAGCAAAGGATGCAAGATTAGGAACTGGCTCCTCTTGATTTCACCCTCCCAGCTCCCCACCAGCTACTGCATTTTCCCACTAGAATTCTGATTTCCTATTTACTGTGGGATTAACCCTTTGGTTAATCTCAGATCATTTAAGGATGACTCTCATGTAAGCAGCCAATGTGTTTAATCAAGGCCAGTCTGATTTTAGCAGACTGTAGAGAGCACAGTGTAAGGACAGGAGCAATAACATTATTCAGCTCCTTGCTTAGAAAAGCTTTGACCTTAAATAAAGTTTCCCTGTAGTAGCATGTTCAGGAAGGAGTAGTGCTGCACTCTCAGCTAGGTGATGGGACTACTGAAATGTAATAAGACAGTGAAAAAAAATAAAAATCCAGCAAACTCACACAGGATTTGGAGATGTGCCCACAACATTAACTACTATTATTAATTATCTGAATTTTCTAACTGTAAAATTTTTGGTAGGAGTAAAGGAGGATGGCAAGATGATAAACCCATGTAACAGTTTGGAGAGCTTAGAAGCTGGGAGAGTTGGGTGTAATGCCAGTCACTACAGTTACATTCTCTTGTAAATGTGGGAGGGGAAATAATCTGTAATCACAGAATAATTGTGACCTTTCCAAGTGGAAGCCAGGGCACTGGGAGTTTGTACTGGGGCAGAGACAGCCTGGGGAAACCAGCATATTTATTGAGAGAAATAAGGCACAAGGTGGCTGCACCAGCTTGAATCCCCAGGCAATTTTGCCGGTGCATTTGTCAGCATTGGCACACGCTGCAGCAAGGGTAAGGTGCAGTGATGGGTTCTACAGTTTTGGGTCCCACCTTAAAAACTGATCACAAACTGGAGGCAAGTTTAGAAAGCTACAAGAGGGCTGTGTGGAGGGCGCTGTGAGCAGGGGGAGGCACAGAGGGGCACTGCATCGCAGGGAGGGACATCAGCTGGGGGGATCGAGCAGCAACTCCACATCTGTGACTGCAGGTTACTGCCCAAGCCTTCCCACCATGTCTGGGCCATGTCAGATGATGGAGAAATTCCCTGATGCAGCTCCAATCTACAGCTTTTACAGGAAAAATGTTTGGAGTTTCAGTAATCACTCAATACATGTGCTTTCCAATGGGGACTTTACCTCCAGATACTCCTGGGCTGGAAAAGGCATTGTTGGATTTCTCACCTCTTAGGATTGGAAACTGAACTGGACATTCCAGAACTAGACATTCCTACCACAGACTATTTTTGCAATGTGACAAAAGAAAATGAATGGGATGTTAATGGGAATATTGTTTACAAGGGGAAACTGAAAGAACTATTTACATATTGCTTGGAGGAACAGTGGATCTGTAACCAGAGATCCAGTTATTCAGTGAGAAATGTAGCTGGAAAGTCCAGCTACAAGGGTAGAAAAATTTTGGGTAAAAATCAGCCAGTCAGTCAAGTGACCTAAGTGCATGAAAGCCTGGCTCATTGGTCCCAGTTACAGAGGCTCCTACTAACAAAGGGTGATCTCTGGCCCATGGACTATATAATCTAAGCCGAGATCCAGTGCAACCATGAAAATGGAGGAAAATGGGAGAGTAATGTAAAACATGATTAAGACTTTGCTAAGCAAATATAATTGGAGCACTTACACAGAGAAGTGGTTTGAGAGAGTTTTGAGCAGCGGGAGGAATTCTGGTCTTGCATGAAGGCTTCACATCTTTCTTCCACATTTGGAAAGCCCGTCGAACCAGAGGTGCTGTTCCTCCCTTTCTCCTGGTGCTCTCTCCTTCCTCCGGCTGGGCGATGCTTCCAGCAGTGAGTCCTGCCCTGGCGAGGGCCGTCTGTGCCTGGTCCCCGAGGGAGCCGCGGTCATTCCCGATGGCACGCCATCTCGTGTATACTGCGGGCAGCGGGTCTGCGCTGGGACAGCCCGGTCCTGCCCCAAGGCCGGGCTCGGGGACAGCAGGAGACGCTGGTGCCGCGCGGTGGGGCCGGCGGGGCTGCTGAGCCCCCGCTGCCAAGGCGCTCGGTTCCCCTAAAAGGCGATTGTGCTTCGGCAAACACGGCGCCTGCCTTGCCCCAGGGGCGCAGCAGCTGCCGCCCGGCTCAGGCGCCCAGAACGGGCCGGGAGTTGCACCGGGCGGGACGGGGGGAGGTTCGGCCGCGTTTGCAGTTTGCGGTACCATGTAAGAACCGCGTCTCAGTGCAGTACAACAGTACCACACGTCAGCCTTGCCTCCCCTGAGCTCGGGAGGCTGCCCGCGGGCGAGGCTGCCAAGGGACCAGTCATGGCCACTACGCAGAGCCGTGATTTAGCATTTTACGCGGCGGCGGCAGCCCGGCAGCCCTGCTCTTGCATTGGGAGCTCACCGCAATGCCGGAGCTTTCTGGCTACTTCTGGGAAAACTCCTGATGTGGCTGTGCAGAAGGACGGAGCCAGTTCCCGGCTCCGGCTCGCTTCAGCGGAAGGATGCGCAGGGCGGTCCGTGCGCCCGGGCAGCGATGGAGGCACCGCACGAACACCCACGACAGACGCTCCTGCTCGAGCCCCTCGGCCGAGGCGGCAGCGCCTGTGACCCAGCTCGGGGTCTGTCCCACCGGGGAGCCATTCCGGCCCCACGCCCCCCTCGGTCTCGCAGGGTGCGGGCTGCGCTCCCCGAGGCACCCGCCAGTCCCCGCGGCCCGAGCGCGCTCGCCCGGCGGCGGCAGCCCCGGCCCACTCCGGCCCCGCCGCCAGCGCCGGCCCCAACTCCTCATTGGCCGCCGCCGCCGGAGGGAGGATGACGCCCGGGCGGGAGCGGGCGCCGGGGGTATAAAGGCCGGGCGGGCTGCGGGCCGTGCCGCGCTCCCGCTGCCCCGCACCGCCCCGCCATGCCGCGCGGCTTCCTCGTCAAGCGCAGCCGGAGACCCGGCGGCTCCTACCGGGCGCGCCCGCGGGAGCGGGACCCTGACCGGGACCCTCCGCCCACGCCGCCGGCCCCGCCGCCCGCCGGTGAGAGCGGCCCCGCCGCTAGACAGGGAGCGGAGGAGGAGAAGGGCGAGGAGGAGGAGGGAGCTGTCGCCGCTTGCCCCGCGACGTGGCCCCCCGGCGGCGGCTGCGGCGGCCCCGGGCTCACCCCGCCGGAGGCTCCGGCCGCCTGGGGGGCTCCGGGGCCGTGCAGCGTGGCGGGGCCGCGGGCGGCTCTCTTCGAGCGGTGCCTCAGCTCCCCCGCCTCCGCCGAGTCCTTCCCCCTGGCCGCCTCCTTCCCGCCCGCCGAGAAGCTGCTGCTGCAGCCGCGCACCCCGCTGCCGGCCCCGCCGCTGCCGTCGGTGCCCGCGATGAAGCGGCCGTCCCGGGCCAAGGCGCCGGCCAAGAAGGGCAAGGCCACGCGGAAGCTGAGCTTCGCCGACGAGGTGACCACCTCGCCCGTGCTGGGGCTGCGCATCAAAGAGGAGGGGCCCGAGGGCCGGCCGGGGCCGCCGACGGGGCGCACGCCGCTGGGCGAGTTTATCTGCCAGCTGTGCAAAGAGCAGTACGCGGACCCGCTGGCGCTGGCCCAGCACCGCTGCTCCCGCATCGTGCGCGTCGAGTACCGCTGCCCCGAGTGCCACAAGATCTTCAGCTGCCCCGCCAACCTGGCCTCGCACCGCCGCTGGCACAAGCCGCGTCCCGGCCCCAGCACCGAAGGCGCCGCCTCCGCCCCGCCGGGCAAGGAGAACAGCCCCGAGCGGCGGCCCCGCGGCCCCGCCGCGCCCCAGCCGCCGCCGGGGACCCGTCAGCACCGCGGCGGCGCGGACAGCGCCCCGGCCGCCCCCGGCGCCAGCCCCGGCCCAGCTCACGGCGGCGCTCCCGGTGCGGGCGGCGGCCCCGGCGGGGAGGCGTTCGCCTGCCCCTGCTGCCAGAAGCGGTTCCGGCGGCAGGCTTACCTCCGCAAGCACCTGGGCACCCACGGGGCAGCGCGGCCCGCCGCCTTCGGCCCGCCGGAGCGCGGGCCCCTCACCTTCGCCTGCCACCTCTGCGGCGCTCGCTTCCCCTCGGCGGACATCAGGGACAAGCACCGGCTGTGGCACGCCGTGCGGGAGGAGCTGCTGCTGCCGCCGCCGCCTCCCGCCGGGGTCCCCGAGAGCGGCGCGGCGGGCGGCGAGCGGCAGGGTTTCCCCTGCAAACACTGCCCCGCCACCTTCTTCAGCGCGCCCGGGCTGGCGCGGCACGCCAGCAAGTGCCACCCGCCGGAGAGCAGGCAGGTCCTGCTGCTCCAGGTGCCCGTCCGGCCGGGCTGCTAGGCCCGCGGCCGCCCCGGTGGGACTGCTCCGAGAGCCCGGGCTAGCCGAGCGAGCCCTGGCCACGCTGCAATTCCTATGGAAAGTCGCGGCTCTCACGGCTAATACGTCGGAGGGGCCGCCCGGTGACTCCCGGCCGGAGCAGCGACGCGCACCCGGCCGGCACGGCGGCGTGTTGGGCCAGGGGCCGCGCTGCCGGCAGCGCTCAGGGCGAGCCCCGCAGCTCCACAGCCACCGGGGCGGCCGGGGGACGGCGGCAACAGGCGAGAAGCCCCGCCGGCACCGGCCGGGAGGCGGGCAGTGCCGAGGCGTCGGGTGGCGGCCCACCCGCCGGTACCGCCAGTACCTTCCGTAACGACGGGGAGAATTACGGTTGTATATAGGGTATCTAAAGAGAGGAATTATTTTTCGTGAGAAAAGGAGCCTGATCTAGTGACCTTGTTTTCGTAGCCTTAGCCCTCGAGCTTCAGCATTCGTGGTGTACTCTAAGGTAGCTGAGAAGGTAAATGTTCATATTAAGTCAGTGTCAAGTCACATAATAGCTAGCAAAACGTATGGGAAATTAATCGTGCTGTCTGCTTAATTGAAATACAAGGTGTTGATCTATAGCTAAGTACGCATCTCCTGCTTACTCTGTGTCTCTGTCCTCTAGCAACTGTGTGGTAGGCAAAACTCGCGTCTCCGGCAGCTGCCCGTTCCCAAAGCTGCTGCGCCCCGTTCGTGGCTCGCTAGCGCGGCGCGGGCAGCAGCCGGGAGGGCGGGCCGGTGCCGCCGGGCCGGGCCGGGTGGGCTCGGTGGGCAGCGTGTGGCCCCGCCGGCCCTTGCACCGCGGGCAGCGGAAAGCACCGCGTGTGCCGCTCGCCTTCCCAGCGGCCTCCGACCTCTCTCCTGTGAGCTGCGCTTTTGATGTGAGCTCCTCCGAGTCTTGTGAGCAGCTGAAATTAGGACACGAAGCAATCTTTAGACATGTTGCTAAAGCACAGGTGATAGGCTACCTTCCTTCTCCCCAACGACACCTACCTTTAGCAAAGCAACCCGCGGTGTGTGTTCCCCGGCTTTGACAATGCTCTGGTCAAATGCTTTGAAATGCTGTTGAATTTACCAGCTACTGACACTTCAGCCAGTATTTATTTATTTGTTTGTTTGTTTATTTATTTTTTTTCCATGAGTGCTTGTTTCTAAATGTGGTAGTAGATGAGTTTAAAAATAAGGGCAAGAAAATTCAATAAAAGATTTAAAAGAAAGCTCATGCCTTTCTTGAATTCAGCAGGGCAAAATGGGTCAGCTGGTGACTTCTGAAGAACCAAACTGATCCCAGTTGTAGTCTTTGTTCTAACACTCTCTCTGATGTGAGCATGCAAAATATTTCAATCTCTCAATTAGCATCCTCTAAAGCAATTATTTCTGTAGTTTTATATTTTCCTACACACAACAAAGGATGTACCATGCCCAAAGGCTGCGAGCAAGCGATAAGTGCTTTATGTCAAATGTGCTTCACGGACTTTGTCATTTTAGTTCCAGAACCTGGACAAATGAATTAATACAATATAACCTAATGCAGCCAAGATTTGCTTTCTGACAAAGGAGGCTAAACTTGCAATTCACTAATATGCCAAAAATAAAGCATGTTAATTTAAGTTGTGCATTTTTCGGTCGTTTGTTGACAACAGAGACTTAGGTAAAAATGCCTGTTTATGGAATTAAATGAGTTTGCCCCTGGAAAGTCATTAGTTTTTTGTTTTTTTAAATCATGGTTCCACTTTCTCTCCTTGTGTAGTCGAAGATGAAGGGCTGCAGACCCAAATGTGATGATTATTAACTGCTCCTACAATTGGCACCTGAACAACCAGCCTGCCAGAGGGAACAGCCTATGTTTTGTATTACCTGCAGAGCTCCATGCAATCTATTTTCTAGATCTGGGGAAAAGTTTTCAGTTGGGCATTCTTGAGAACTTGTGTGTGCTTTTTTAATACAAAGGAAAACTAAGCTGTGTATTGCATTTAACTGCTTCATGTGCATGTAATACACAATTCTTCTATAAATTGGACTAAGAATCTAATCAGGGAAGTGAATAACTAATATACAAAAGGTGGTAAGAATAATTTTATTGGATTATTAAATAACATGTTTTCTCTTCAACCATTACAAATTTGTAGATACTACATGAATGACAATACATAATTTCTTTTTTTATTGTTGCCCATATATTTACACATGCAGTTAGTACCGATGCCATGCTACATTTTGTTAACAGCATTTTGTTGTTTACTAGACTCGAAATGTGAGCATTTAATTTTCTGTAGGAAAATACCTCTGGGTGGGTGGAATTCATGTACTAATCTGCGCTCACAAGGTTGAAATTATCAGCATTTCAGGCCAGGCTCCCGGAGCATGTTCCCTTTTCTTCCCTAGGACCCATCATCACAGCAATGAATTTCTATCAGGAAAGTGTTTGTTTTTATTCTTTTTTTAATGTAAGAAAAAAGAATATACATCTAGATGAAACAGCATAATGATAATGGCTAAAACTCATGAAACTCAATGGCATTTACTATTGACACCACTTGGAAAAGCAAACATTATAAAAATATTTGGAAGCCGAGCATAAATAGAATTTCAGAACAGTGATTTTTTTTTTCTGGCATAGATTATCTGCAGAATTAAGAAATGATACATCGCTTTATGATGAAAGGGTGCTGTGAGCAAATTATTTCATTGGATTCTGTGATACTTGAAACGCCATTGAACTATTTTATCCTCAACATAAATAATCTGTACACATCTTGTGCATTAACATTGTGACATCTGACAAAGACTTTACAAATGCAACTTCAATTTAAAATTGTACATTCATTTTCAAATTGTACATATTTCTTTCTTTGTTACAGAGAAAATTGCAATGGGGCATAATAAATATAGTGTAATCCAACTGCAGTCTCTAATTCCATGTTGACTCAAGATCAACCAGAGTTAAAACCCAAAGTTAATCATCCATAATCATCCAAGTAGGTAAAAGGTGCAGGGTACAAACTGCACTGCAAAGGAAAAAAAAGGCTGACTGGAGTTTGATAAAAAAAAAAAAAAGCTAAATTATTAAAGTAAAATTCCAGTGTCACTGTTTAAAATAAACATACAGAAAAGGAGTATGCAGGGCACGGGTGCACACACATTTGAGACATTATCCTTGAATGCACGGCGTGAGCAGTAAAGCCCCGAAGGCGGTGAGTGGCTGCGGGAAGGGTGGCCAGTGCTCCTCACTAGAAAGCTGCAGGCATCTCCTCTCGCCCCTTAGGACTTGTTGGCTGAGCCGGAGGAGCGGCGCAGCTTCATGGACATGCGGCTCTTGCTAGTCCGAGGAGACATTGGAGAGGCTAAGTCTGTTCCATCCACCTGTGCTGTTGCTGCTGCTGGAGTTTCTCCCA